TCTCTCTCTCACTTACTCCCTCTCGCTCACTTTCTTTCGCTCACTTCCTCTCGCTTCCTCTCCCTCTCTCTCTCTCTCTCTCCCTCTCTCTCTCCCTCTTCGTCTGTTTCAGAATCGGCCGGCGGGGCAGAAATGCTGCGATTGTGTGAAGGTGCTGACCATGCGGGAGGTAGATCCCACCAACGTGGCCATCCCGGGCGGCTGGGGGCAGCCGGCCGGCCCCAGCCAGGCCTTGCATGTCACAAGGGGGCCGCCACTTGCGCTATTTGCAGTTCGTGCGTTTATTTTCTATATTTTTATTTATTTATTTTTTGGGGGGGGCTGTTTGACAGCAAACTGGGGTAGTCGTGGCTTATGATGTATGATCCATTTTGTTTGTGTGCGCAGCTCGGGTGATACTACCTCGTGCCGGACAGTGTTTATGTAGTGGGGTGCCTTGGACCTGGATGGCAACGTTAGCGTATCCCTAGGCTTTCAAGTTGGAGCTGGCCTGAACTTGCCAGTGAGATGGAACAGTGAGGCTGAGACATGCGCCAGGCCGAAGACATTCAGATTCGCTTGGTGCCCTCGAAGCATTTGGATGAGCCGGCAGAAAAGGTCAAGCAGGCAAGGGGCAGCGCCGGAATCACGCTGACGGGTTGTGTCAAAGCCACGAATCACATTGCCATAGATCTGTAGTTTGGCTGACTGGGCCCATCGCACGGCATATGACTTCTGATGGTGCTGCTGTATTCCCCGTCCAAGTGGAAGTCACACAGCCAGACTGTCCTTTCCCTGCCAAGGAGGAGGCTTTGCAGTGTCAATGTTAGGTACACTTGATGCTGGCGTCTCAAGTCTTGTAGACACTGCAATGCCTGGAGTGATTCAGAATACGAGATGATGCAGGCCAATTCCATTGGGAGCAGGTTGTGACTTTCGCGGCAACGGCGCTTGACATTCGCTATTGGTGTTCGGCCCCGTAGAACCAGCAAGGTTACTGATCAGCCTGCAAGAGGCGATTGCGAGCTTCCCAGGTTGCGGACCCTAGGACTCAACAGGCGCAGGGTAAATAGATATGGCGTGATCTCAAGACCTCATCGTAATCACGCAAATGACATGACGGGAGGCAGGTCGGCGGAAGGCAGGCGAAGGTGGGCAGTGGAGGTAGCATGATGCAGAACCGCCACATTGTTTGGCCGAACTTGCGCAAACACTCATGGTGAACTTGGGCTGAGCTTGGCTTCCATTTGCTGGCACATGCGGTCAATCGCCTTCTCGAGTCCTAGAGGGGTTCTAATGCATCATCAAAGGAATTCGACGTATTAGCCCACTGTCGCAAAGTCGGCTTAGAAGAGGGCATCCAGGAGTTTGGGGGGGCTCATAGGGGGCGGGGGTCTTCCTGCGGCCTATATGACTTCGTTTTTGGCTGCATGTGCGGAGGCGGACGTCGCGAAGCCCGGGGCAGGTGGCGTGATCGCTGATACGACGGCCGCTCGGATTTGATGTATGTTTTTTTTTTTTTTTTTCCCGATCATGTATTACTGTATGGGTTTGTTGTTGCTTGTTTTTGGTAGCGACTTCATTTGATGGGCATAAGCTCGGGGGCACAGGCTTCTGTAAATTGAAAGCTAAGCATCACTTAGCCTGACTTGTAATGAGGATATTGTTTTGACTGGGCAGGTGCCAATGTTTGCTTGTGGTTGGGCCTGATGGGCCTGCTTGTTCCTTAGAATGCTTTGCCGAGATGATAGTGTTTTATAATTTTGAATGTAGTTGTTCGTTGCATGCTACGGTATGTAACATGCAATCCATGAGGATAGCGCAGGGAAAATGCAACCGCTTGCTTCACTGCGCTGATGACGGCCTTTACATGTAACAATCAACTGTCGCGACTTTTGCGTGGTTATATTTGTCGGTCTCGCTTTCGCGCTGCAGCTACAGCAAGAACAAAGTCAAAACCGCGCTCTTTGCCTTTGTTCCTGCAGGCGTCAAAGCACCGCGTGCCAAGCCCCAAGCCGTCTCCAATGCCCATTGCAGGTCTTCATTTGACGCGAACGTCCCTTCATGGGCCGGGCCAGTTTGGTAAGCGATCTGAGGATGATGCATCCTACAACTGCTGGCAGCTGAATTGAGGGCGTCGCGGGCATTGGCGCCTGTTTTTTGCGCAGGCCCCTTGGCTGCGTTGATTTCTTGGTTGCCCGCAATGTGCTTGTTGATTCCTCGAATGGAACGGGTGGGGGTCCCATGACCCGTACGTTCAGCCCACTTAAAAACTCTTGTGAGAACCTGCACCTCTTTCAGATAGCTCAGGCATTGCCTGAGCTTCCCCAAATTCAATACAAGTAAATAAACATCATGCCAGCAGAGCTGTTCGGAATTTCCATGTTTACTTGCAACTGTCAAATCTTTAGCTTTGGCTATTGAAATAGTCCAATTCGCAACTCATGCATTGGTCGAATATATTTGTTTTGTTGAAGCGCCCAGTTGTCAGCGGCAAACTCGAGCTTCGCCAAGTGCCCAACCAAGATACCAAGCAGGTTGGTTCCGATTTCGACTGCACTGTCAGCATCTTGCGGAGGCAGCTCGGCTTTCAGCTGAATGCTTATCGCGACTGGCCCCTCGGCCTTGGCGCTGCAGGGGTTCCGTCCATTCCAGCAGTGCTGAATCCTTACAGGTTGTCTTGACCAGCCGGCTCCGTGCAAAAGGCCGGGTGCCGCTGGTGAAGCCCCATGCATGAATCTGAATTCGCATTGTTGCGGTTGAGCAGGGGTTCTCATTTGAGGTGAGGCAATCCAACAAGAACACCACATGCAGGTGATGTTCACACCACAGTCGGGCAAAGAAAAAATGCGAGTAAAGACCACACATTGAGCTTGGCAATCTGGGGCTGCATTTTCAGCATCAGCAAGAACTTGGCAACAGTTGACACATTTAGGGTTTTGGCCGACCCCGTCTGATGTAATGAGAATCAGTTTAATCGTCCGCTGGATTTTTGGCGTCAGTCAGAGCATTGAGATCAGTTGTGATCATTTGTGGGGGTGGACGCACACAGTGCGCAACCGGGTAACCAGAATTTTGATGTTATTCTGCATTCGCCCAGCCAGGATCCAACATGTTCCCATGCTTGGCCCCTTAGTTTCTTGTTGCAACTGGGAGTGCTTGCAACAAGTGTCTACTGTAGAGGCATGCCAGGAGACGTCCCGACAAAACCAGTGCCATTTGGTTCTTTGTTGCTAGGTAGCTTCCAGGTGCTTCGCTGAAGAACCCCTGATTGTCGCAGCCCTGTGAATTCGTTTGCCCGTGTCCAGCCCGTGTCCAGTCCAGGGCTCACCTGCAGCCACTCAAGACTGTCGGCTAGCCGGAAACACTGGCCGCGCAGACCGCCCCAGACACATAAAGTGACGCAACGCTGACAGAAAGTTGGGTCCGAGTTCAGTGGTCCCACGCCCCATCAGCTGCAACTGGTAATCCACTGCAAGGCGTTCTGTTTTTTGTTGCAAGTTGAAGGCTAAGAGTTTGTGAATGCAACTTTGGTGTCGCAAATGGCAAATTTGCATGACAGGGCGCAAGGGCACGCAATGTAGGCCAAAGCCGAGCTTGCTAGATACAGTAATTCAAGACCAAATGGTGCATACCAATTGCACAGTTTGGCGGCGAAGCGCCACAAAGTAGATAGTGGCCGTGCCGAGCCAATGTTGCCACCACGCTGTGTTGAGGCTTGCTTTGAGAAGTCATTGGAATTGCATTTCTGCAATCAAGGCAAGGTATTTCTGATGTAATGTATGCCAGTATGCCAGAACCGCGTGGACGACTGCGATTGTGGTTGCACTTTTGACGCTGCCTGCCGGGACGAGTCTGAAGCTGCGCTGGCCGGTTGTCCAGTTGTGCAGCGCAAAGGCGAGCTTGAATGCTTCGACATTGGGCCAATTGGCAGGAGCTTGTCCCAGCAAGCAGCTAAGCAAGCAATGTGTCGCGGCAGGCGCGCGAAGGCAGGAAAAAGGCCTCGAGGTCAGCTTCCTTTTGCCGACGCGCTGGTAGCAGTGGTGTGGCCCCTCACAGCACAGACCAACATGGACCCCCAGTCGCAGCTTTCTCCGAGGGGAGGGAAGCTCATGACTTTTTTAAAGGGAAGGTCACACCTAGTGCAGAAGCAGCGAGTTGTTGTCATGATGCTGCCACTACTCGTGCTCACAAGGCCCGAGCTAGTGGAAGGCTTTGAGAGCCTTGAGCAAGGAAGAGCGAGGCATATGTGACTGCTAAGATTAAGTGGGAGCTGTGCCGGTTCCGTCGCACTCCCGCACGTGAGGCGGCCATGGGCTATTTCCAGTCTAACCTGTCAATTCGACCACAGGCCTTCATTCCATCCCTTCAGTGCCGTGGCCAGCAATTTGATCCGCAATTGCAAGTCGGCTTGAAGATCACCTTTCATGGGCATTGAATGGGCACTTGTTCAAGACAGAACTCTGGCACCATCACTAGCACATACCATAAAGACGCGGCCAGTGCTTTGCATGATGGGTTCCATGGGCTGCAAGAGCAGCCAAATCATCGCCCTGGGCTTGGCAACAGCCTGTATCGAGTTTGCGTTGGCACTGTTTTCTTGAGCAGGAGCAAGTTGATTGATTCCCCGTAACCCTGGGCAGGGATATCGATGTGCTAGGGCAGAAAGCTAAAAACAACGGCAGCCTGCAATGGTTCGCCTTCTAGGATCTACAGTTTGACCGGATTTATGTGGGCAAGTAGCCGGACACGTCTAACACATAGTACTTGTTGGTGACTTGTTGGTGACTTGTTGGTCAACCAGTGCAAGTTGAGCTGGCCGAGCTGAGGCTGATCGCGAAGACCCTGGCTTGGTTCCAGGACGACTTGTGGCAGCTTTCATTCCTTCTGGTTTCGTTTGAAACGGCCAAAAAAGGGTACCCTCAAAAGTCACACCCGAGTGATCCCTTGTTTGTAGCATGGTTTCAGCGTGTTGGTTTAACATCATCCGTGAAATGGCAAGCTTGGAAGAGGCCGCTGAACTCGCAGAAACCCAACTTGCAGACCATACCTGGTTTGTTTTGGGCGACAATCCAGAGGCTGCAATGAGGCGGAAAGCAAGCTGCAACCTCTTCAGGCCCCTGCTCACAGATAATGAAGAGCATGGTGGAAACAATGAGCCAAATCGAATGAGGTGTCGGGAACATAGACTCGTCACCAAAAGAGCGCCGCAAGGTCAACACAATGTCAGGCTTTTGTGTTGTTCCCGGCGCAATTCTGCGTTTCTCCCTGCTGTAAGCTCAATGTGGGAACGTGTGCTTCGGGGGTAGCACTGGGAACGGGTCCCATGGCCAGCCCAGCGCCCGGTGCAGCCCCGGGCGCTAGGCCAGCTGCCTGCGGAGCCGGATGTTGCGCTCACAAGCGCGTGCTCCTGTGAGGCGCGGCGACCTCCGTATGCTGTGAATTTTGCTTGCCAGGGTTGGGGTCATTCAACTCGGTTGCGAGCAAACGGGTTGCTTGCTTGTCGCACGTGCAAGCTGAACAAGCATATTATGCATGTATTTATGTTTAGCATGTGTTGAGCTTGGTTTACCTTCATCGGCTTCAATGCGGTCAGGGAAACCATTTGACAGACTTAGCATGTCTGGATGCACCACTGCCCGTTGCCCCTTTGGCAGCTTGATCCAGTACATGCATTTGGCCAAAGACATCCGGCTGGATGCCTGTCAGGTTCATTGTGTCATTCCACTTGCAACATTTCAGCCTTTCAAACCAAGACAGAGGCCAGCATTGCTTACTTAGTCCTTGCATTGCCCTCGGATCTAACGGCCCATGGCGGTGAACGTGCCGGTGGAGGTTGTGGGCGCTGGGAGTGGAGGAATCCCAGAGCTACAGCCGTGGTTGCTTGGCAGGCAACATTGGGGAGCGGGCTGGCAGGGCATGATCAAGATCTCGCAGATGAGGTGGCACCTACCAATGCCACCCGGTCACCTTCATAGATCAATTCCCTTATGCAGCCACTGCCCATTCGAAGTTGTGTCCCAGCAGCCACTCATAGAGCCCAGGATTGATGAAGCATCAGTGCAGTGGGCACTGCTCCAGTTCAGTGTTGGACAGGCGGGCTGGAGTGTTTTGAGCTGATTTTGCATGTTGTGTGACTGGATGCAAGCTTTCTACACATGACAGGGGACTTGGGCGCGGCAGCGAACACTTTTCCTGCATGCCACCTGGCAATATTCGGCACCCGCAAGCAGATCATTGCGGCAGTGAACTAGCCAGAATTTGACTTAGATCAGGCGTTGCTCATTGGCCTTGTTTGACGCCTGCTAAGATCAATGGCGAAAAGTGTCCAGCAGTCGCACGGGGCCGTGCCAATGAGCTGACAGCAGAGGCAGGTGTTTTTCATGCCAAGACAAATCAGCACCCAAGTTGTGTCACTTCAATGTTGGACGTATTTGCAAGTCGCTGGATGCACTGTGAAGTGCCTCACACTCAGGACATGTGGATCCTTTAGAAGAAGTAACTCAGCGGGTCTCTCCACAGTCAGATGAAAGATGCCACGATTCCCCCAAGTGCCATTTAATGTTGGTTTTGCAGTCCTTACGGGAAATGTGGCATGCATCTTCCCGTGCTCACGTATCAAACAACATCTGGCGCGGCGTTACGCACCGCATATCGATGTATGTATATATTTATTTTTTGTTAATGTTGAAACGCATGTGGAAACATGAACTGTGTGTGGAATGCTTGACCACAATGGCATGTGCCATTTTGGCTCAAGCATTGTTCTGGGTTCCTGGAACCCAAGCTGATTGAAAAACTTTGACCTTTTGCATTTTCGAACTTAACCCCGACCAAGCAATGGCTTCCTCGGCAACCTCGGCAACTTCCTTTGAGTTGATTGAGGACCAGACACTCACCGTGGAGGAGGTTGAAATGGCCAGCCAGGAGGCCCAGGACATTCGCACACGGGAGGCGGCAGTGGCGGCCGGCTTGGTTTTGGACGAGCCCGAGGCCCCCCCGTCAGCTTTGGCGACCGATGTGATGAAGGACCTCTCCAGTGCACTGGAGCGTCTCCGAGTGGCATTTGCCACACCGACTCCCGGCTTGGGTGCCCCTGGCCCCGCCGAGGAGCCGGAGGAGGCGCAGACGCCACCCACGAAGAGACTGAAGGGCTTCGTGGCGGCTTCTCAGAAGGCTACGTCTCAGGCCAACAAACCTGTCACCTTGGTGCCGGTGGACGGAAAACCCGGGTACTTCAAGCTGGTGGACCTCCCAGACCTGTTTCCAGTCCTTCCAGCGTCGGCGGCCACCTTGCTGAGAGACATCACGGTGGAGGAGGCGGTCTCCCTGTTTCACAAGTTTGTTGGGAAGAACCTCACGGAGGACCTGGTGATCCGCATCTTGGAGGCGTACGTCCCGATGAAGATCCAGCTCCGCCAGGAGGAGGTCTGGGCTTCGCAGTTCCAGAGGAACAAGGCGTGTATCGGCACCCAGCGCATGTACAGGCTCGACGCAGGTCATTCCGACTACAAGTTCATGTGCAAGGCATGCAGAACGGGGTGGCCAGAGGCAGCCAAGCAGTGCTGGGTCTGCCCCGGCAAGGAGTTCGCCCCCTTCCAGGCACCCTCGGCCACCTATGAGGCGGACGGCATCACCTACAACCTGCTCATTTTGGAGGGCAAGCCGACCTGGATCCGGAAGCCTGGGTGCCGTTGGCCCGGTGGTACCCTGGCACAGGCCGACCGCAACTTGGTGGACGGCACGGTCTTGGGGAGAGCCCCTCCAAAAACGGACTCGGCGGATGAGATCACCATGGCAGATGCGGTCCCGCTTAACAGGCGGGTGGACATCCGGCAGGAGATCCTGTCCATGGAGGCGGACGACGAGGCGTTGAAGGTCCGGGAAAGCCAGGAGATCAAGGTCAAAGTGCAGCGGTCCCTGAAGGAGGCGGAGGCTCAGAGCTTCGAGCTCTACCATCCCCAGGTGGACCAGGCGATCAGGAAGAAGGAGGAGCTGCATAAGGCCTTGCGGGAGCAGCGGGAACCGACTCCGGAGGAGGCCTCGGCCAGGCGGCGGCACAAGGAGTTGGTCACTGAGGAGATGCTGGACAACGAGATGGCGAGAGACCAGTACTTGGAGGGGAAGGGCGTTGACGCCAGCCAGGCATTGGCTGAGGCGATGGGCTCCATTCAGGAGGCTCACCAACCAGGCATGGATGCTCAACCACACTCTCAAGCCCTTGGTGTCGGCGTGGCCGGATGATCTCAGGAAGGCCCTGGAGAGGGGCCTATTCTGCCCCCTGGAGCTGGATGACCCCGACGACATCCCCCCGGTGGGGGACATCAAGGAGAAGTATGTCCCCTACATCAAGATGCTCAGAGCGTCGCAGAACCCGTGGCACCAGGAGGCACTGCTGGAGGAGGCCCGAGCTGGAGGCACCGGCCCCCCCCAAGGGTGCCACCGGGCCCAGGGGGGACCAGCCCATGTCCCAGCAAGACCTGGACTCTGAGGAAGGCAAGCTGTCCCTTATCCTCTGGGCAATGAAGCGGCACCAGGGAGAGCTCCGGATGTTTGGGGGGGTTTGGAAGAAGCACGCAGTGAGATCCCCCGGGGCGCTGACCAGCAGTTTAAGCTCGCGCCGGAGGAGCTCCTGGTTTTTGAGCGCAGGATTCACCCATTCACGTGCGAGCAGGACCACATCGACCCAGTCATCTACACGGCCTTGGAGATCCGAGCTCAGGTGAAGCGGGGCGAGCGCCCGGCACCGGAGCAGGTGGTTGGTATCTTCTGGGCGAAGGGTGATGGGGTGTTTTGGACCAGACAGACGAGAACGTGGGACCTGCCGAGCCTGACGAGTGTACGCCCACAGGTTCACATTTAAGTATATCTACTTGGCCTGGACCACCTTCCCGTTGATTGTGAAGACGCAACGCCGGGGCCGCAATGCGGAGGGCTCGACCTCGGACAAGTGGATGGGCAACATTATCCAGATGAGGAAGGAGGCGGTGCCCTTCCTGGAGAGCCTGGGCATCCCCAAGCCGCGCAGCAAGGAGGAGTGGAGTTACATCTTCAAGGAGATGGGGACATTCTTGGCGGCAAAGAATTTCATCGTGAACTGCCCGTTGCCCGTGATGGAGATGCCGGTGGCCCCCATCCATGACAGTAAGGAGGCGCTGCGGTTCAGGGCAATTTGCGACGAACGGATAAATTTCTCGCTGGCCTCGCTCAAGCCCTTCGACTCGGTCTACACCAAGTTGGTGGCGGGCCTGAGCAAGTCGTCGATGGTGGAGTGGGTCGAGCAGGTCCCGCAAAAACCGGCGGGGGCCTTGTATGACAGGTTGGGCTACTCCCAGGACCTCATCCGGCAGCTGGGTTGCTCCCCCCCCTTGGGTGCCGTTGGCCCCGGGGGGGGAGCGGCCAAGGAGGCGGACCCAAAGGCCAAGGTCCTGGGGGGCCAGACACCACGCTCCGCACCGTTGCGGGCCAAAAGTACGTCAACAAGCACTTCCCCAAGGAGGCGAAGCATGTGTTTTGGGGCTCCGTGGAGTGTGGCTTGGTCTTGCCAAGCATCAGTGCCTGGGAAGTGGTGAGCAAGGAAAAGTTCAAGACCACGGGGGGCTATATGTGTCAGATTTTGCAAGGGCCTCTGGAAGGCGAGCCGCGGGGGGACCAGGCTGCTCCAGATCACGGGGTGGCACAGGGATAAGGCCACCTGCTTGCAGTTGGTGATGGACGAGCCCCCGCAGCAGCTGTACAATCAGTGGATCCGCGATCGGATGGAGTTCTACAAGAGGGTGGAGCCAACGGAGCCTCCCAGGGATGAGCGGCTGGTCCTGGGCGACGCGATGCGCTTCAGCTCCTCGAACGGCCTGGGTCGGTCATCCTGAGCAACCCGGAGAAGTCGGGGCTGGCGGCAATCCACTCGGTGGCAAAGGAGGCGATCCTGAAGGGAGGGAGCCGCTAGGTTTTGTCTCACAACCCTGTCGGATGTGGGAGTCGTGTGATTTCTTCCTCCCGGGACTTGGGTGCCTTTGGCCCCGTCTCCGGGGGGGGAGGGGGAAAGGGTTTTCCTTATTGGGTTCGGTTTTCACCACTGTTTCCTCTCTTATTCCATTCTGGTGGCGCACGTGGGTTCTTCTGGTTGCATGGCAGTGGAGCCACGTCACGGCAGCTTGATCTCCTCGACCGTGCGACCATGAGGCCACATGCATTAGCTGCCCCAAGGACGGGCCATCTCAGCCACGGTTCGGAAAAAGTGGCTGCGGCCGACTCTTGGTTTCCTTGAGGTCCCCTTGGGGTTTTGGGGAATCCCCCGCCTGGTCGGTCTCCCCCCTCCGTGCTTTTGGGGGGTTTCTGGGGGGTTGATTTTGGGTCGCGCTCCCCCCTTTCCCGGTTAAAATCTCGGGACTTTGGGGGGGACTTGTCGGGATGCGTGTGGCCTGCCTGCTCCATCTGCACTCTGCATTCTGCAAGGTTGGAGCATGCATGCATTGTGCCGCGGTTGGGTCCCGGCGGTTCGATAGGAGGCTCGAAACCCCCTTTTTCATCATGGCTAGGGTATCTACCAAGTTTCTTATGCGCCCGCCTTACACACGTCTTTGGGACCGCATTCCAAGGGTCCTATGGGACACGTTGGCGGATGAGTCCTTCTCCCCGAGACAGACGGACGGGGAGCTGTTGGTCCTGATGTGCCTGCGCCAAGGCACTGAGGAGGAGGGGAGGAAGCTGGGCGGAGAGCCGGCAATCCGCTTCTCTCAGCTCCTGGAACTCTCGGGCATTCCGGTAGGACAAGACGGCGGCAGGTAGGCTTCCCCAGCCTCTGTCCGCGGCGGACCTGGCCGACCTGTGGGACAGCCTATGGTTCCTCCTCCTGGCGACGGCGGATGGCAAGCCGAGCGAGGACTTTTCCCCGCTGGAGAATGGATGGGACCGCCAGGACCAATTGAGGTGGTTCTCACGAGATGACCCACCCCCACTCCAACAACCGGAGCTTCTGAAGTGGAGGCACTGGCGCCCGGGCAAAATAAGGGAAATGGAGCCCACGACCCAGCGAGCACTGGAACTCCATATGCGCGGGAAATGGGCGGAACGGCTCCTCGCCCACTTTGCCCCGGAGCACATCGCGTACATGCAGGACATCCTGGGGGAGGACTTCCGCAAGGAGGCATTGGACCTCCTGGGGGACAATAGGTTCCGGACACTCAGGCAACATTGCCTGGTCTACGAGAGTCTCCGGAAGAGAGGCTTCACGGTGATTCCCTGGCAGGAACGACATGTCCGCTCTCTCCTCAACCAGCTCGCCGAAGAGGAGGTCACCCCGTACAAGCTACGGCAGGTGTGGAACACCCTCAAATGGTATTCCAAGACCTTCGGTATGCTGAAGATAGA